TGTTGCAACTTTTTTTTGATAATATGATATGCAGTTTTTGTGTCCTCTTAATGCTTTTGAGATTCATACATCTCTGCATCTATTAATATTACATTCATTTTTATTGCGAAAATATAATTCCATTGTATGAGTATGCAACAGTTTTTTTTTTTTTTTTTTTTTCTTTTTTTTTGAGACGGAGTCTCCCTCTGTCATCCAGGCTGGAGTGCAGTGGTGCAATCTCGGCTCACTGCACACTCCACCTCCCGGGTTCACGCCATTCTCCTGCCTCAGCCTCCCGAGTAGCTGGGACTACAGGCACCCGCCACCACGCCTGGCTAATTTTTTTTTTTGTATTTTCAGTAGAGTCAGGGTTTCACCGTGTTATCCAGGATGGTCTCGATCTCCTGACCGCGTGATCCACCCATCTTGGCCTCCCAAAGCACTGGGACTACAGGCATGAGCCACTGCGCCCGGCCACAACAGTTTCTTTATCCATGATGGACATTTGTGTTTTCCACAGCTTTTGGCTATCATTAATAAAGCTGCTGTAAACATTCCAGTACAAGTCTTTGTGTGGACATGTGTTTTATTTTTCTCTTGGAAAAAAACACCTAAGAATAGAATTTTTGGAAAATATCAGAGCATGTTTAATTTTATTAGATATGCCAAGCTGCTTTTCAAAGTAGTCGAACAATTTTGCATTCCCATCAGCATGTATGAAAGTTCTAATTATGCCACAAGCTCGTCATCACTTGATAGTATCAGACTTTTTCACTTTAATGATTCTAATGGTTGGGTAATGGTATTCCATTATAGTTTTCATTTGCATTTCCCTGATGATGGTGATACTGAATATCTTTTCTTATGCAACTCTTAATTTTATAATTTTCTCTTGCACTAAAATTATAATTTTATAATTTTCTTTTGCACTGAAAATTATGGTTGCTAACAGCTGTTTGTTTGCATTAATGGATTTATTTCCCTATATCTTTTGCACTGCTATTAGTTGCTGGCTGTAAGATTCAATAATTCATGGGAAGCAGCAGAGTGAGACAGTGAGGCTTTTGGAGTCTGTACTGACCGTGTACCAACACCTTCAGCTGAGTGATCTTGGACAAGTCCCTTAAGATCTCCAAGCCTGTGTCTCTTATTTTTTAAAGGGAGATTGTTATCATCAATAATAATTGTTATTATTAACTACTGTTCATTAAACACCTTCTAAATTCTAGGCTTTATGCTAAGTGCATTACTTACATAATAAGTATGGTTATGTTATGTAAAGTACTTAGAACAGTGCCTAGAACGGAGTGAGCACTATATTTGTATTATATTTTTAAAATTTATTTTTATTGTAGTAAAATAGTCACAACATAAAATCTACCATTTTAACCATTTTTAAGTGTACAGTTCAGTAGCATGAATTACCCTTACTTTGTTGTGCAACCATCATCACCATCCATCTCCTGAACTTTAAGCATCCATACTAAAACCCTGTACCCATGAAACATCCTCTTTTCCTCTCCCTCCAGCCCCTGACAGCCACTGTTCTACTTTATTTATCTATAAATTTGACTATTCTACGTACCTCATGTAAGTGTAATAATACATTATTTGTCCTTTTTTGTCTGACTTATTTCACTTAGCATAATATCTTCAAGGTTCATCTATGTTATAGTATGTATCAGAACCTCATCGCTTTTTAAGGCTGCCTTACTTATTTTCTGCCTGGTTGTTTCATCCATTATCGAAAGTGGGTTACTGAATACTATGACTATTATTGTAGAACATTCTACTATCTTCAATTTTGTCAACTTTTCCTTCATATATTTTGAGGGTCTGTTACTAGGCGTATAAATGTAGTAATCATTATCATCATCATTATTAATCTTGACGACAAACGACAATTTTTTTTTTTTTTTTTTGAGATGGAGTCTTGCTCTGTCACCCAGGCTGGAGTGCAGTGGCGTGATCTCAGCTCACTGCAACCTCCACTTCCCAGGTTCAAGCGATTCTTCTGCCTCAGCCTCCCAAGTAGCTGGGACTACAGGCTTTTGCCACCATACCCAGCTAATTTGTGTGATTTTAGTAGAGACGTGGTGTCACCACATTGGCCAGGATGGTCTCAAACTCCTGACCTTGTGATCTGCCCGCCTCAGCCTCCCAAAGTGCTGGGATTATAAGCATGAGCCACCGTGCTCAGCAAAGTAAGACCATTTTTATCCCCATTTTGTATAAGAGGAAAATAATACACAGAGAAAAGAAGTATCTTACCTGAGGTCAACACTTATAATAATAATTTTTTTAAAGAAGAGATTAGGTCTCGCTATGTTGCCCAGGTTGGTTTCAAACTCCTGGCCTACAATGATCCTCTCATCTCACCTTCCCAACGTGCTGGGATTACTGACATGAGCCACTACACCTGGCTCATAGTGATAATTTTTTAAAATGCATTTATCATTATTGGAGATAGCTACTGTGTCCATTCTTAACTCTGAATTTGGCAATTAATGGAAATTATTAAGCATTGACCCTGACTTTCCTATTCAAACTGCATGTCAAATTATATATAACCATATAGCCTTGACTGATGAGGAAATATTTATCTCTTACAAAAGAATTCCAGCTAGAAAGTATTGATGAAATTAGAAAAACACTTTTTTGTGACCCCCTCATGGAATAATGTTCTAGGTAATAATGAACAATGAATACAAAATACATTCGATGAAAGTTCAGAGGATATTAGTTTCCTATTGCTACTGTAACAAATTACCAGAAAGTATGTGGCTTAAAACAATAATAAAGTAAATGTATTATCTTATAGTTCTGAAGGTTAGAAGTCTAAAGTGCATTTCAATGAGCTGAAATCAAGGTTCACACAGGCTGTGTTCCTAATGCAGGCCTGTCCTAGTCTGTTTTGTGCTGTTATAACAGAATACCGCAGATTGGCTAATTTATAATGAATAAAAATGTATTGCCTCACAGTTCTGGAGGCTGGGAAGTCCAATATCTAGGTGCCAGCACCTGGTAAGGGCCTTCTTGCTGCATCATGGCATGGCAGAAGGCATCACATGGTGGAAGGGCAAAGAGAGGCAGAAGAGGGCCAAACTTGCCCTTTTACAATGGCATTAATCTCACCCATTAGGGCAGAGTCCTCATGGCCTAATCACTCCTTAAAGGTGATTTAATAACAATGGCTATTAAATTTCAACATGAGTCTTGGGGAAGATAACGATTCAAACCATAGCCAGGGCCTAGGAAAGAATCAAAGTCTTTGCCTTTTCCAGGTTCTAGAAGCTGCCTGCATTCCTTGGCTAGTTGTCCCCTCCTTTCTTCAATGCCGGCAGTGGAACAGCTTCAAACCTCTCTCTGACTCTGACCCCCTCTAAGCCTCCCTTTTCCACTTTAAAGGACCTTGTGATTAATTGGGTTCACCTGTGTTATCCATGATACTCCCATGATAATCTTTTTAAGGTCAGCTGATTAGCAACTTTAATTCCATCTGCAACCTTTATTTTATCTTGCCATGTAACAACATATTCACAGATTCTAGAGATTAGGGCATAAACCTGTCTAGGAGAGGCATTATTTTGCCTGCCACAATGGGGAACTGGAGACTTATGAGGTGTCAAATTATCAACTCACAGATGAGAGGTTATAAGGTGGAAAATACACCTTAACAGTGAAGAAGTCAGACTATCCCCACCTGAACCCACTGGTAGATCTTAACATCTCTAGTGGCGGAACATCAAACATGGCGTGCATTCTAATGTTATGTAATATAAATAACATTGCCTGTGAAATATTCTTACCAAGAAAGCTTGACATTACTTTAAACAACCTTTTGGGACTTACAGTTTACCAGAAATACAGGGAATAGTAGAAAAAGTTAAGTGATACCATGAAGAAACAATCAGACAAATCCTGAAGATGGGTCGTTCTAGCGGAAAGCTGCCTCTGTTTCCTTAGTAAATCACTGGCATTAAAAAAAAAAAAAACAGATGGGGGCCGGGCGTGGTGGCTCACACCTGTAATCCCAGCACTTTGGGAGGCCGAGGTGGGGGGATCACGAGGCCAAGAGCTCGAGACCATCCTGGCCAACGTGGTGAAACCCCGTCTCTACCAAAAATGTGAAAAACAGCTGGGCCTGGTAGCGTGCGCCTGTAGTCCCAGCTACTCGGGAGGCTGAGGCAGGAGAATGGCGTGAACCCGGGAGGCGGAGCTTGCAGTGAGCTGAGATCCGGCCATTGCACTCCAGCCTGGGCGACAGAGCAAGACTCCCGTCTCAAAAAAAAAAAAAAAAGTTGAGGACTGTTCCAGATGAAATGATACTGATTCCTCCAGGAGCCGACCCTGATACATGGATCCGAGTTTATTTGGGAGGTACTAGAGATACCAGTAGAGAAGCGAGGCAGTGAAACAGAAAAAGAAGAGAGTCCACGATGGGTTTGTTGTTGAGCTGGCCGCCACAATGAGCAGCCGGACCTCAATCCCACGAGAAACTCACAGTGACACAAAACACCAGATTCACAAAAGGCAAAGCCGCCTAAGTTTTATACACTGACTCACAAAAGTAATTTGTGGAGAACTGGTCCTTGGGGGTGTTAATTTGGCACTTTGGGCCTGTGGTAAGCAGGGAAAGCTGTCTTTTACCAGTGGTGTACCTCAGATATTTCACACCTGTGGGGCATTGCAATTTAAGTCCCTTTCTGTATATGAAAAACTAGGTTCATAAATTATTATGAAATAAAATGAAAATAGTGGGAAAAATTACATAAATAGAAATGCAGACAGTGACAGTTCTTTTGTTGAACTCTGTATGTATAAGTATGACATTATAAAATAATACTAAATAAAAATTACAAGATCAAAAAGGAAAACATAAACACTTTAAAGATAATTAAAGCCTTACATTACATTAAAGTCTTATATTTCACTTTTTTTTTCTTTAAAAGGAGTGAGTTGTGTATAGAGGGGTTAAACGCTTTTTAGACAAGAAAAAAAACTGCACTAGAATCAACTTATTCATCATCATCTTCTTCACCTTCATCTTCCTCCTCCTCCTGATCCTCTTCATCTTCCTCCCCTTCCTTCTTCCTCTTGCTCTTTTCAGCCTTGGTGACTCCCTTTTTTTGCTGCATCAGGCTTTCCTTTTAGTTCAATATGCAGCAAGATCCTTTTTGTATTTTTCCTTCAGCCTCGCAGTCTTCTTTTCATAAGGCTGCTTGTCATCTGCAGCAGTGCTATTCCACATGTCTCCCAGTTTCTTTGCAACATCACCAATGGACAGGCCAAGATGTTCTTTGATTTGGGGGCGACACTCAGAGCAGAACACGAAACAGGCTGCAGGAGGCCTCTTGGGTGCATTGGACTTGAACTTCTTTTTTGTCTCCCTTTTAGGGGGGATATAGATTTTCATTTCTCTTTCATAACGGGCCTTGTTTGCCTTTGCTGTATCTTCAAATTTTCCTTTCTCTTTAGCAGACATGGTCTTCCACCTCGCTGAGCACTTTTTTTTAATTTTTTTTTTTTTTTTTTTTTGAGACGGAGTCTCGCTCTGTCGCCCAGGCTGGAGTGCAGTGGCGCGATCTCAGCTCACTGCAAGCTCCGCCTCCCGGGTTCACACCATTCTCCTGCCTCAGCCTCCCAAGTAGCTGGGACTACAGGCGCCCGCCAACTCGCCCGGCTAGTTTTTTTGTATTTTTTAGTAGAGCCGGGGTTTCACTGTGTTAGCCAGGATGGTCTCGATCTCCTGACCTCGTGATCCGCCCGTCTCGGCCTCCCAAAGTGCTGGGATTACAGGCTTGAGCCACCGCGCCCGGCCTTTTTTTAATTTTTTCTGAGACAGAGTCTCTCTGTCGTCCAGGGTGGAACCCAGTGGTGAGGTCTTGGCTCACTCACTGCAGCCTCTGCCTCCTGGGTTCAAGTGATTCTCTTGCCTCAGCCTCCCGAGGAGCTAGGATTACAGACAACCGCCACCAAGGCTGGCTAATATTTGGATTTTTTGTAGAGACAGGGTTCCACCATGTTGACCAGGCTAGTCTTGAACTGCTGACATCAAGTGATCCGCCTGCCTCGGCCTCCCAAAGTGCTGGGATTACAGGCGTGAGCCACAACACCTGGCCTCTCTCTGAGCATTTCTTAGAAAACTCTCAGAAGTTGACTGAAGCTTCTTATGCTCCTTCTCACAAGTTTGCACAGGAAATGCATATGATAACATTTTGCCTCTTGGCTTCTTAGGATCTCCTTTGCCCATGTTTAGTTATTTTTTCCTCAGCGAGGCACAGAGTCACCCAGTGTCTATCTGGCTCCCACTTGCCCTGGCGCTGTGTCTATGGAGCTCAATGTACTGTAACAGCTGTGAGAGCAGGCCTCCTCACTCTCTCTACTCTGTGAAAAGTTTCTTTTACATGAAGCAACCCATATATAAAGGGTTTGTCAAAAATTCCCAAAAACCAATTTCACAAGTTCCAAATATGATAATACTGTACATTACTTTGTTTTAGGGGGATGAGTTCTAGTGGATTTCAGTGGTCTCCAGAGTTGAAAATTGCCACTAGGCCGGGCACGGTGGCTCACACCTGTAATCCCAGCACTTTGGGAGGCCGAGGTGGGTGGATCACGAGGTCAGGAGATCGAGACCAGCCTGGCTAACACGGTGAAACCCCATCTCTACTAAAAATACAAAAAATTAGCCAGGCGTGGTGGCGAGCGCCTGTAGTCCCAGCTACTCGGGAGGCTGAGGCAGGAGAATGGTGTGAACCCGGGAGGCGGAGCTTGCAGTGAGCCGAGATTGCGCCACTGCCCTCCAGCCTGGGCGACAGAGAGAGACTCCATCTCAAAAAAAAAAAAAAAAAAAAAAAAAGAAAATTGCCACTAGAGAATTTTCACAATTCAACACAAAAACAAATGAACAAACAAACCCTCCATTTTATTTTGAAAATCAGATAATATGGCTGAATGATAGCAAATATTGACATTATTTGAGTCATTGCTTTAAAATGAGTATACAGCTCTTGGTAGAAATGATCAAGTCATTCAAACATAATCTTTTTATTTATTCTGGCATCTTTTGTCGTTTCTCCTGAGATTCTTCTTCAAAGTTTGATTCTTTTTTCCATGTAAATATTCATTCTTTTTGTGTAGCATAGCCAAAAGTCTTCTCCACATTTTTTTATGTGCCAGACTTCAAGACTGAGATTTACTATACATTACTCAAGGCTGATTCTGGCTCTTCACAAAAATTTTTGTCTTATTTTAAGAAATGACCATAACCACCTCAACTTTCAGCAGTCACCAACCTGATAAGTCAGCAGCCATCAGTACTGAAACAAGACCCTCCACCAGCAAAAAAATTATGACTCGATGAAGGCTTAGCTGATCACCAGCGTTTTTTAGCAATAAAGTATTTTCAATTAAGGTATGTACATTATTGCCTTCGATATAATGCTAGTGTATACTTAATAGACTATGGTATAGTATAAACATAACTTTTATACACACTGAGAAACCAAAATTTGTGTGACTTGCTTTATTATGAATTCACTTTATTGCAGTCATCTGAAACTGAATCCACAATATCTTGAAGGTATGACTGTATTTCGAAAGTCAACATTAACCTAACATCACAACTAAAAGAACTAGAGAGCCAAGAGCAAACAAATCCCAAAGCTGGCAGAAGACAGGAAATAACCAAAATCAGGGCTGAAATGAAAGACATTGAGACACAAGAAATCATTCAAAAGATCAACAAACCCTGAAGGTGATCTTTTGAAAAAAGTTAATAAAATAGACCACTAACTAGACTAATAAAGAAGAAAGAGAGAAGATTCAAATAAACACAATTGGAAACAACAAAGGGGATATTAACACTGACCCCACAGAAATACAAGCAACTGCCAGGATAGTACAAAAATCTCTATGCACATAAACTAGAAAATCTAGGAGAAATTGGTGAATTCCTAGACACATATACTCTACCAAGACTGAAGCAGGAAGAAATTGAATCCCTGCACAGACCAGTAATGAGCTCTGAAATTGTCAGTAATAGCTTACCAACCAAAAAAAGCCCAAGACCAGATGGATTCACAGCCGAATGCTACCTCATGTACAAAGAAGAGCTGGTGCCATTCCTGCTGAAACTATCACAAAAAATTGAGGAGGAGAGAATCCTCCCTAACTCACTCTGTGAGTTCAGCATCATCCTGATAGTAAAACCTGGTAGAGACGTGAAAACAAAAAACAAAACAAAACAAAAATACCCACTTTAGGCCAGTAATATCCTTAGTGAACATTGATGCAAAAGTCCTCAACAAAATACTGGCAAACTGAATCCAATAGCACATCAAGAAGCTTATCTGCCACAATCAAGTAGGCTTCATCTCTGGGATGCAAGTTTGGTTCAACATACACAAATCAAAAAATATGATTCATCACATAAACACAAGTAAAAACAAAAACCACATGATTATCTCAATAGATGCAGAAAATGCTTTCAATAAAATTCAACACCCCTTCATGTTAAAAACTCTCAATAAACTCGATATTGAAGGAATATATCTCAAAATAATGAGAGCCATCTATGACAAACCCACAGCCAACATCATACTGAATGGGCAAAAGCTGGAAGCATTTCCCTTGAAAATCAGCACAAGGCAAGGATGCCCTCTCTCACCACTCCTGTTCAACATAGTATTGGAAGTCCTGGGCTGGGCAGTCAGGCAAGAGGAAGAAATAAAGGGCATCCAACTAAGAAGAGAAGAAGTCAAACTATCCCTGTTTGCAGACAACATAATCCTATATCTAGAAAACTCCATAGTCTCAGTCCAAAAGCTCCTTAAGCTGATAAACAACTTCAGCAAAGTCTCACAATACAAAATCAATGTGCAAAAATCACTAACATTCCTATACATCAATAACAGCCAAACCGAGAGCCAAATTAGGAACACAATCCCATTCACAATTGCCATGAAAAATTATAAAATACCTAGGAATACAGCTAACCAGGGAGGTGAACAATCTTTACAAAGAGAACTATAAAACACTGTTCAAAAAAATTAGAGCTGACACAAACAAATGGAAAAACATTCCATGCTCACAAATAGAAAGAATAAATATCATTAAAATGGCCATACTGCCCAAAGCAATTCATACATTCAATGCTATTCCTATTAAACTATCATTGATATTTTTCACATAACTCGAAAAACACTATTTTAAAATTCATATGGAACCATAAAAAAAAAAAAAACAACCTGAAGAGCTAAGACAAACAAACTCCACTCAAACTATACTACAGGGCTACAGTAATCAAAGCAACACAGCACTGGTACAAAAACAGACACATAGAGTAATGGAATAGAACCGAGAGCCTAGAAATAAGGCCACACAGCTACAACTATCTGATCTTCAACAAAGCTGACAAAAATAAGCAATGGGGAAAGGATTCCCTGTTCAATGAATGGTGCTGGGATAACTGTCTACCGATATGCAGAAAATTGAGATTGGACCCCTTCCTTATACCATATGCAAAAATTAACTCAAGATGAATTAAAGACTTAAATGGAAAACTTAAAACTATAAAATCCCTGGAAGACAACCTAGGTAATACCATTCTGGAGTTAGATTTCATGATGAAGACACCAAAAGCAATTGCAACAAAAGCAAAAATTGACAAATGGGATCTATTTATATTAACAAGCTTCTGGACAGCAAAGGAAACTATCAACGGAGTGAACAGACAACCTATAAAATGGGAGAAAATTTTTATAAGCTATGCATCTGACAAAGGTATAATATCGACAATAATGCAATCCACAATAATGCTATCCGCAATAGCATCTATCAGGAACTTAACCAAATTTACAAATGACAACAAACAACCCCATTAAAGTGGGTAAACGACATGAACACTTTTCAAAAGAAGACATACATGTGGCCAACAATCATATGAAAAAAAGCTCAACATCACTGATCATTAGAGAAATGCAAATCAAAACCACAGTGAGAGGCCATCTCACAACAGTCAGAATGGCCATTATTAAAAAGTCAAAAAATAACAGATGCTGGCATGGTTGTGGAGAAAAGGGAACACATTTACATGTTGATGGGAGCGTAAATTAGTTCATTGTGGAAGACAGTGTAGCAATTCCTCAAAAACCTAAAGACAGAAATACCATTCGACCCAGCAATCCCATTACTGGGTATATACCGAAAAGAATATAAGTCATTCTATCGTAAAGACATGCATGCATGCGTAGGTTCATTGCAACACTATTCACAATAGCAAATACATGGAATCAACCTAAATGCCCATCAACAGAAGACTGCACAAAGAAAATGTGGTTCATATATGCCATGGAATACTATGCAGCCATAAAAAGAATGAAATCATGTCCTTTGCAGTAACATAGATGGAGCTGGAGGCCATTATCCTTAGCAAACTAACTCAGGAACAGAAAACCAAATACCGCATGTTCTCACTTATAAGTAGGAGCTAAATGATGAGACCACATGGACACAAAGAGGCAAACAACAAACACTGGGGCTTACCAGAGGGTAGAGGTTGGGAGGAGGGAGAGGAGCAGAAAAAATAACTATTGGGTAGTAGGCTGAGTGCCTGGGTGATGAAATAATCTGTACACCAAACCCCTGTGCCACGAGTTTACCTGTATAAAAAACCTGCATCCCTGAACTTAAAAGTTAAATAAAAAAATAAAAATAAATTATCCTTACTGTGCACACAGCTTAATTTGCCTGGTATAGTCTGTTTCACTGTTATAACTACATTTGGCAGCAGATTTTATAGATGAGGAGAGATTGAAAAGAATGGATAATGTTAGACGCAACAAAAATTTTTTATTGTAAATTGACAATTTATAATTGTATAAATGTACGGGTTACAAAGTGATGTCATAAATTGTGGATACAATGTAGAATAATTAAATCAAGCTAGTTAACATACCCAATACTTCAAATTTCAAATACATTTCTTTTTTTTCTTTTTTTTTTTTTTTAGAAGGAGTTTCGCTCCTGTTGCCCAGGCGGGAGTGTAATGGTAAGATCTCAGCTTACCACAACCTCCGCCTCCTGGGTTCAAGCGATTCTCCCACCTCAGCCTCCTGAGTAGCTGGGATTACAGGCATTCGCCATCACGCCCAGCTAATTTTGTGTTTTTAGTAGAGACACGGTTTCTCCATGTTGGCCAGGCTGGTCTCGAACTCGTGACCTCAGGTGATCCTCCCGTCTTGGCCTCCC